ACGCTTTTCCACAAAAAGTGCTTTTGCGGAAAAGCATCCTGCCAATCTAGACGCGCTTTTCCGAAAATGCTTTTAACGGAAAAGTTTTCCGTTCAAAGCATTTTCAAAAAATCACACCAGTGTAGATCTACACTAAGGGTACATCTACACTAGCCCCCTAGTTCAATCTAGGGAGGCTAATGAGGGTGACCAAAATTGCAAATGAAGCTTGGGATTTAAATATCCTGTGTTTCATTAGCATGTTCCTGGCTGGTCGCCATTTTAGAAATTGACTAGCCCGAAGTAACTGCCGGCATCTGCATGCGGCAGTGAAACAGGATTCTGAATTAAAGCCCTAAATCGAATTAGCTGTTATTCCTCCTGCAATGAGGTTTACCAGTGTAGAACATGGTAATGAAGCACAGGATATTTAAATCCCAAGCTTCATTTGCAATTTTGGTCACCCTCATTAGCCTCCCTAGATCAAACTAGGGGGCTAGTGTAGACATACCCTAACAGAATTTTTTTTTAAAACAACGAAGAGTCTTGCAGCATCTTAGGGTATGTCTACACTACCCTGCTAGTTCGAACTAGCGGGGGTAATGTAGTCATCCGCAGTTGCAAATGAAGCCCGGGATTTGAATTTCCCGGGCTTCATTTGCATGAAGCCGACCGGCGCCATTTTTAAATGCCGGCTAGTTCGAACCCCGCGCTGCGCGGCTACACGTGGCACGGACTAGCTAGTTCGCATTAGGCTTCTAATCCAAACTAGCTGTACGCCTCGTGGATTAGAAGCCTAATCCGAACTAGCTAGTCCGTGCCGCGTGTAGCCGACCTTGTGTATTCCCTGTGATTTACCTCAGCATAGCTGACTTATACTCAGCACCTACAATTTTCTTCACTCTTGGAGCAATGACAGTGGTGTTTTGTAACCAAAAAGCTTCCTGAAAGCAAAGTAGTATTTATTTAGAATAAAATCATTTCACACTTTATTAAGATCTAGGAGTATGTCTACACTACCACTCTAGTTCGAACTAGGGTGGTTAATGTAGGCAATCGAAATTGCAAATGAAGCCCGGGATTTAAATATCCTGGGCTTCATTTTCATCTTGCCGGGCGCCACCATTTTTAAAGCCCTGCTAGTTCGGACTCCATGCCCGCGGCTACATGCGGCACGTATTAGGTAGTTCGGATTAGGCTTCCTATTCCAAACTACCGTTACTCTTTGTGGAACGAGGTGTACTGGTAGTTCGGAATAGGAAGCCTAATCCGAACTACCTAGTCTGTGCTGCGTGTAGCCGTGGGCACGGAGTCCGAACTAGCGGGGCTTTAAAAATGGCGGCACCCGACAAGATGCAAATGAAGCCCGGGAAATTCAAATCCTGGGCTTCATTTGAAACTTCGGTTGCTTACATTAACCACCCTCGTTCGAACTAGGGTGGTAGTGTAGACATACCCATAGATGCTGCAGGACTATTCATTTTCTAAGTTTTTTCGTCAGTTTTTTGAGCAGATTGTAAAGTATGTCATAACAAAGTATGGGTTAGTGTTTTCAGAAGAGAGATGAATAGTACTTTGTCATACCATTCCACAATTCTATAGATCAGGGCTAGAACAACACTGGGTATGTAGACAAATGCAGCCAATTTGGCAAATTGGCAACTTCAAATAGGTTATACAATATTTTTGAAGAGCTGTTCCAATGGTTTTAAAGATTAAAGTCCATATCCTGATCTAGCATCAATTGACATGCTACACTGTTTTGCCCCAGTTGTAAAACTCTTCACTATCTTGCATTTCAGGTCACTGCTTCAATCTGTGCAAATGGATACAAAATGCTACCAAATCAGATTTCCTCAGTGACTTACACCTTGGTTGTAGTGCTTTGCACCCACTAAATCATAGAATCATAGAATAATAGGACTGGAAGGGACCTCAAGAGGTCATCGAGTCCAGCCCCCCGCCCTCAAGGCAGGACCAAGCTCCACCTACACCATCCCTGACAGATGTCTATCTAACCTGTTCTTAAATATCTCCAGAGAGGGAGATTCCACCACCTCCCTTGGCAATTTATTCCAATATTTGACCACCCTGACAGTTAGGAATTTTTTAAATTTTTTAAAGCAGTAGATAAATTAAGCCTATACACATATTTGCTGCTTATATATTTTAATTTTTAGACAATGCTATGGCTATTATTTACCAGCCAGATATCCAAGCCAGAGAACCTAACTTGCCATAAAGAACAAAAGCAAATTAAATGGTCTTTTCTGCAGTGGAATTGACAACTGTCATAATCCAAGATGCTCATTTTGTTATTAAAGAAAATAGCATTCCAGGTCTCCCCTGGTTTAGAGTATTGTATTGTCAACTAATTAGGCTTTTATCGTATGTCCTCATATGCCCTTCTATCATATGTCCTCCATATGTCCTTCTGTCATATGTCTTCCATATGCCCTATATGTAATTAGACTTCCATCATATGGCTTTGATCATATGTCATTTAGATAGACTTCCAGAATATGGCAATGTTACAACTGTGGACCTTTTACAAGTATTGGAACAGCAATTCTGTACCTTTCACTTCTGTGAGCTGCAGATTAAAATGAAGAAGAAACAAGGAAGATGGCTAGTTTTGAGTGGCCTTTTTATTGAGAAGATTAATTTCTCTCCACTTAGTCCATGAACAAAGAAAATTTCACTTCTGCACTTATTCAGTTTTTAGTCACTTCTCTTTGAGTTTGAATGCCATCTCTCAATGTATTGCAGGAGACTATCGATCTGTGTTTGTTTAACAAATGGTTTCATTTGGAATGGCTTTTTATTAAATATCCTTCTACAAAATAATACCACCTAAATTTTAAGTCCATTTTTGTCTCTTTGAAGCTGGAGTCTCAAGCAAAGTGCAGAAATTTGTACTGGTGGCAGGTGAAAATGAGACAGTGGGTTCTGGCTGAATAAGAGAGTCCATGTGTGTCTCTTATGGACTGTGAGTACTGTCACACTGTGCATTTATTGAAAGGTGACTCTTCGTAGGTTATGTTTCAGTGCACAGGAATATGTATCCAAACTTGTGAGTTCCAAACTTGCCGTGGCTTATTATTGATAATAAAGACCACAAATACCCATTGATGCATCTGCCTATAATAGGTGAGGAAAGCTGCAAATGTCCGGTGATGATGGCTTCTGGATCGCTTTTTTAAAACACCATGTGTGAAAAAGGACTTTCACACAGATTTGCAGAATACACCTGTAATGGTTTTGTCCTTTCTTTTCAATCCTTTCCTCTATGTAGTTGGCCCCATTCTCTTTTCAAAACAAATCTCTCCAGGTTCATAGCTCTGGACAATCTAAAACGTATTAAGCTGTATTGCTCCACCATTACAGCTGTGCCTGCAATGGGTCAAAACCTTACATTCTTTAAACGTCATGCTTCTTCAGCCACTCCTGTTGGCTAGTTCTTCAAGTAGTATTGAAAGACAGAGCCAACGTCTTGTGTTCTCTATTAGTGACTGGTTGTCTGCACTTGGCAGCCAATGAGCAGGTTCTTGAGGGAGTCCGTTGCTTATTTTGTCTTTTTTACGTTTTCCCTGTGAATAGAGTGCTGGGGCCAAGGTGCCTGATTAGCAGCCCTGAAGAATGAAGAGTTCGGTCTATCCTCAGTACAGGCACGCCCCAAACTCCAAGCTTCCTTCAGACAGCTCCTGCAAGGTGCCGCAGATCTGACCTTGGAGGGCCTACCTGTAAGGGTGAGAAGGAATTTCACACTCTGTGCCAGTTAAATCCTTGTTTTCATGCTAGAAAAAGGATGGTTTCTTATGCCACGGACATTTGTCCCCTGGAAAGTGAACCGACACCCACCAAAATCATTTACTCAGATGGGGATATTTTAAAAAATGCTTTTTGTCTATCTACCAGGCCAGTCTAATCTATGCTGAAACACTTCTATTGCTGAGTCAGATGCACCAAGTAGAGCCCCATTTGTACATAAAAGTTTTGTCAGAACTGGGATAAAATAGAATGTAATGCCGAAATGATTCATTGTTTAATGAATAGGGCCCACAGTGTTCTATTGATGCCATTTATAAATCTCTATAAAATGGAAAGAATTCATGTCATAACTGGAAATCCAAGACCAGCAACCTTGTGAGCAAAATTATGGTGCACAATATAATATGAATTCTAACATGCTCCCGCTTGAAAGCTACTCAGGCCGTGTTAAAAATAAGACCATTTTATTGTCTAGATTCAAAACCCAGACTTATTCTTCCCTTTGCAGTCGTAAATTACTGAGGAAGGGAGTGATTTGTGTGTGTATGTGTACCCAAAAAGTAAAACATGCAAGATAGATCTGCCCTCACCAATTAGACACTGTTGTAAACTGAAGGCACTAGAATGACACGCGTGCAAATCAGCTCAGATTCCAAACAGAAAGAGGAGTTAAATGACAGCTTTCCAAAATGAGTGAGCAGCAAGGCTCAGAGCTGAACCTGGCTGGCCTGACTCCTGGTCTGCTGGGTTAACCTGGAGGCCATCTTCTCCCGCCTTCCTGTGTGGCCTGTCAGGGTTTTCATCTGCAAACCAGGAAAAGCCTGGTGGTTTTGACATGAAACCAGGTGACACTCACCCATTTGAGTTTTGTGGTGAGGTTTTTGGTTTCATTCAGGCCTGGGCCAGAAGCAAACCCGTCCACATGTGTGGATGCCACAAAAACTCTCATGTACACCCAGAAACCAAACCCACCACATTTCACACAGCAGAGCTGGCATCTTGCCAGCAGCTCAGGGCTGCCCCCAGATTGTTCAGAAATAGCTTTATCTATTTTAAGTAGAGTATGTATTGCCCAGGGGCAAAATGATTCCCAACAAATGATTAGATGAATGTTGCCTTTTTTTCTTTGCACAGTGATCATCTCTCTGACCCTACTTGAATGTGCATAACTTTTTGAATTGGGGGTCTGGTGCCAATATGGATACAAGCGTGAAATTTGATTCTCTGATGAGCTAAGTGCTTTGCCCTCCTTTCCCCCAGCCCCTGGGGAACACTGGGGTTTCCGCTTTAAAATTAAAAAGCAGGCCAAAGCAGTGTTAGCTGTGTTGCAGGCACGCTACTTCCCTCACCCTGCTATTAGAAAAGGTCCAGAATAGACACCTGGACACAGTCGATTCGGCAGCCTGCACTATGGCAACTAAAGTTGTTATGCGTTGCGGTGCCTGGCTGCATGTTTTGGGGATTCCCCCTGACGTCCAAAATACGATCCAGGACTTGCCTTTCGAGGGCAAAACTTTGTTCTTGGAGCACACTGACTCTAGGCTCCATATGCTAAAGGACACGAGGTCTACCCTGAAGTCCTTGGGCATCCACATGCCTGCCCCGCAGCGTTGCCAGCTGCCCTATAGGCAACAGGCTTTGATGTCGGCAGGGGAGCGTCCAGACTAGCGCGCTGAGCGGACAAACAGCTAATCAGCTGTTTGTCGGCTCAGCGCAGCAGCCATGTAAATGTAAATGAAGTTATGTAAATGTAAATGTAAATGTAAATGATCATTTAAATCGCTGCTTCATTTGCCTTTGCCTATGTGTCTAATCTACATGGCTCCGTCGTCGGAGCCATGTAGTCTAGACACAGCTCTAGACTGAAACAGGAGGGGGAGCACTCTTGCACTAGCTATGGAGAATGCCACCTATTCGTAGGGCTGTGCTGCTTAGCCTCGGGCAGGGGTGGGGAACGTAAGGGTTGGGGGCCGGATGCAGCCTGTGACTTGCCTGGATCTGGCCCCCAAGGCTCAGGACTCCCCCCTCAGCATTGGGGAACCAGCGCTGGTGCTCCACCTGCACCCCTCCCCCACCGCAGAGTTGGATTACACAAAATCGGCTAGCCTGGGTCCCCCTAGGCTCTGGTATGTGAGGGGAATGTGGCAAGTGTCTTTTTCCTTCTCAGTTGGGGGCCACGGCAGCGAGGGGTTGTTTTTTCCTTTTTTTGCTTCTCACTTGTGTGTGGCCCCCAACTGATTTTTCTATGGATCAATGGCCCCCGACCCATAAAAGGTTCCTCACCCCTGGCCTAGGGAGTGAGAGAACCCTGTCCTCCTCCCCCGCCCTATGCTGCTCTAACTCCCTTCCCCCCATATTTGGGCAGAGGGAGGGGAAGAGACAAGTACAGGGCTGGGGGATAGGCTTGAAACGAGGGCTTCCACCCTGACTCTAGCTTTTGGTGGATGCTTGGGTTCAGAGAGCCAGACGAAGAACCTGTTGCATATGGCATGAATGCCTTCTCCAGACAAAATGAGGTGGTGCAGAATTTCCTGTTCTTTTTGAAGGTTTTTCCCTATAGAGGAATGATCCAGCCTTTCATTACAGTGTCTGACTCACCCTCCTGCCTCTGTCAGTTCTGCCCTTTCCCATGGTCTGTTGACAAGAGAGCGCTTCTCTAAATCCTGTCTTTGTTACAGGTGTGACATCTCCCAGGTATAGGGTTTCATTATTGCTTTCAGAATGTATTAGTGAAATGTCAGGATCCACTCGCTTATCATTAACAGCAACATATAAATGCCATGCCTAACAATAGTAGTAGAAGAGCATTTTTTGTGAATGGGCCACTTTTACACATGTGGCTGATGTGTCCCAAACGTGCACATCTTTCCACAAACAAGATTAAAATATTTGCAGATTTTTTTTAACTGCAGATCACATGGTTGACTCCATGCCTGGTGTAGCAAATGTCATTCAAATTACCTCAAAGGATATTATGAACAACCCATCATCACTCAAGTCTTTCATGCTTTTCAGCCCTGATACTGCAATGAGCACAGAGACAGGGAACCACTGACTTTAAACCTGGAGAGAGCTCCTCTCACTATCGGAGCCATAGACTGAGCTATTTGTGGTAGGAGCTGTACTGAAGAATTCAAGGGTGTGCAGAGAAGGGCAACAAGAAGGATTAGGGCACAGCAAAACTCTGAGACTGAAAAGGTTGGGGTTGTTTAGATTAGACCAGTAAGCCCGGCAAACTTAAGGAAGGGATGGATAACAAGACAGAAAATATCAACATGCTACTATACAAATCCACGTTACACCCACACCTTGAATATTGAGTGGTATTTTGGCTGCCCCATCTCAAGACAGATATATTAGAATTTACAAAGTACAAAGAATGGCAACAAAAATTATCGGGAGATGGAATAACTTCTGTATGATGAGAAATTAAAATCACCGGAACTTGTCAGCTTAGAAGAGATGATTGAGGGGAATATACAGAGGCCTATAAATCATGAATGGTGTGGAGAAAGTGCATAAAGAAGTATTATATACTTGTTCAAATAACACAATAATGGAGAAAAAACCAGCAAGCAAATGGTCTGGTAACACTTTATAGACTAACAAAACATGTAGATGGCATCATGAGCTTTCGTGGGCACAGCCCACTTCTTCAGATGACTGGAGTTATGATTAGAGGATAAGGAAACTCGAAATAAATAGAAGGGAAGGGGGCTGGGGGAGGAAGAAAGATGTTCTGTCGCCCACCCCCCTGTCTCTATGCAAAAAGTATCAGGAGAAAGGGTGTTAAACCTGAGTAGATAAAGATCAAAGTCAGTGGATGGATAAGGCAGGAAGGATACCATTCAGAAAGTAGTTAGCACCTTCATTGATAAAGGTTCCCAATGGAGACTACCCAATGAAATTAATAGGTAGCAAGTTTAAAATACACAGAAGGAAGTACTTCTTCACACACTGCACAGTCAACCTATGGAACTCCGTGTTGGATCTATTGTGACCACCAAAAGTATAACTGGGTTCAAAAAGAATTAGATCAGTACATAGAGGATAGGTCCAGCAATGGCTATTAGCCAAGATCATCAGAGACCCAACCTCGTGCTCTGGGTGTTCCTAACTCTCTGACTACCAGAAGCAGGGACTGGATGATGTGCTGTTCATTCCTTCTGAAGCATCTGAGCTAGAAAGACCACTTGTCTGACCCAATATGGGCATTCTTGTGTTTTATGAGACAAAGAATGGCAGCCATACTAAGGTGTGTGAAATAACAAGGAAGTGTATAGGGATCTTCTGTTCTCCCAGTCTCATAACACAAGAACAAAGGGGCATGCAGTGAGAATTAATGGTACCGCAAATTCAAAACTGATGAAGGAAAATTTTTTGCACATGATACAAAATGCTGTGGAACTCTGCTGCTAGAAGTTGTTTAGGACAAGAATATAAAGATTAAAAGAGGCATTGGACATTTATATGGATATCAAGACTATCCAGAAATATAGTTATTAATGAGAGCAAAAATTTTGGAAAACAGATCAAGCCCCATGTTTCAGGGCTTTAGCCCATCTCTAACTAATAGGGACTAGGTTGAGACTTACTGTGGAGGGGCAGATTATTGATTATTAATCCGCCTGCTGCAGAGCTCTTAAACTTTCCTCTTAAATGTGTGATCCTGGCTATTTTTGGGGGTGGGCTGTTAAAATGGATGGGCCCGGGCCTACAACCTGGTCTAATCTGGCATTTGCAAAGTTCCTGTGTCTTTTCATCCTCTGAAAGACCAAGCACATAGTTGACCCTTTAGTAAAAATGATGATGAATAAGGAGAGATTAATCAGAAACTCTCTGTAGTTAAAAATTGCATTGAAAAGAGCTTCTCTAATGGAATAACACGATGTATTAGTGGTTGTAAATATTCATATAGTACTTTCCATCCAAAGATGTTGAATTTTTTTATAGCTGTTAATGTGACGTGGGACAATTGACTTATGGTCACTTTAAAAATAATGGGCTAATTCACAGACAGGTGAAGTTACTTACCCACAGCCTTGCAGCATCCCTTTGGAAGGGCCAGGACTAGAAGCCAGATAAACTGGCTTGCAGGACTGCAGCATGACCCAATACTAGGACCTTTTAGCACCTCATTAAAAGCATTTATTGAAACCACAATATTGTGAGGAACTTATGAAACACAGAGAAATGGTGAGAAGGTGTTAGGGACTGATCCTGCCCTCACGCTGGTCTTTTGGGACCTAATCCAGTATGACAGTATCCACTAACTTTCAGGGCTTTCACTCAAGCTTACCCAGAGCATATGACTTCAAAGAACTTGGCTCAGAGCTGATTTTGGCTCTCTCTTTATAACCAGTTATTTTAATTTTTCTTTAAAAAAAAGGTTTGGTTTTCATTCGTTTCGGTTCTTGTTTCCTCTTCTCTGACACAGAATAACATTTGTGGCAGAAGAGGATGGTTTGCAATAGATGGTTATTGTGGTTTGTTTAATGCCACAGTTTCCTTTTGGCATTCCCTGTCCTGCCACAAGAGAAGTTGGTACCATTTAAGAGCAAGATGTATTTGAAAAAAAAAAAAAAAAGAATGGAAGAAGAGGGAAATATTGGAAGGAAGGAAAGAAACGATTGCTTGCTGTAGTACAGAAAACCAGCATTACAGTTGATTTTGGAGTTGTGTCTCTCTTAGCAATCTCTCTTGCAATACCGAAAACAAGCCTATGTTATTACCTCAGAAGGGCTCAGCGTTATTTGAATCCTGCATTTTTCCTCATTTATAATGTGGCTGTTGGATAAGAAGTCCAACAATGTAGCATGTACTGTATGCTACTGTAATTTAATATATCAATAATGTTATAGCAAGACTGCTAATTCATTATTTATTTAATGGTGTCTCAAAAACATTGAAGACAGTGGATAGTCCTCAGATTGGAATGAATAACCACAATACTGTAACACGTCCCTGGGGACTTTGTGGTTGTCGCTGTGCTGCGTAGCATGGCCTCTCAGAATTTCATGACGGTATCTTGGAGCGCTATGGTTCTTTTTCAGTAACACAGACCCCATTACCTCTTGAGCAAAGGCAATATGTCCTTGAGCTGTTAACACTCCAGGCCCTATGCCACAAAGTTCTCAGAGCAGTTGTACGCACACACACAGGAATACACACATCCCAATTTGTGATAATTCATATGTACATACACATTTGCCAACTTACAACAATGTAATTTCAACTACAGTCTAGACTCTAAAGTTAAGACAACCCAGCTATGCTGATTGGGGGTGTGAAAAAGCACACCCCAGAGTAATGTAGTTAAGCCAACCTAACCCCAGTTGTAGCCAGTGCTAGGTCAAGAGACAAATTCCATCAAC